ACTCAGGTAGACACCTGAGATGGCAAGCCTTCTTCACAAGCTTCAATTGCGAAATAAAATACATGGAAGGCCACAAGAACAAAGTGGCAGATGCACTCTCACGGTACTACAACTCGTCAACGGACAAGGATCTGCATTTCAACGACTACGTGTTGGCAGACATCCATCTGGACAAAAATGCAGAAGATACTATCCCTGACAGAATCGAGGAATATGAAGAACTGCTACTAAGCAGTACCCTGAGTAAAAACTCAGAGAGAAAGAGACTCGCAGTGATACGCGCGAGAAATACCGAAGCTCTAGGGGGGAGTGCCCAAAATCTGGAAGAAATCATAATTCCAGAAGAGAACCTTCGAAAACAATTCAAAGAGAAAGACCTCATTGAGGCAATAAAATCTGGATACTCGCAAAGCCAGATCCACCGGGAAATCCTAGAGAACCCGGGGAACTTCAAAAACTTCTCCATAAAAGATGGGCTGATAACCCAACTTGGAGAAGGAGGAACGACCCAAATAGTAGTCCCGAAAGGGAACTACGAAAGGAAGTCCATTCGAGGAATAATCCTCAAAAACATCCACGAAACACTTGGACACCTAGGATCCAAGAAAACAGTGGAAACCCTCCATTGACACTTCTGGTGGAAGTCGATGAGGAAGGATACCCACAAGTTCTGCAGGTCTTGCGGAACTTGTCAAACAACAAAGAAAAGCACCAGGAGAAATCCCAGACTGCTTCACCCACTCCCGACCCTGGAAACACCATGGTCATCAATAGCTATGGACTTCACAGGTCCATTCCCAACAAGCTTGGGATATGATTACCTCTGGGTAATCATTTGTAGGTTGACGTCCAACGTCCACCTAATTCCAATAAAGACAACAACGAACGCACTAGAACTAGCATTCGTATTTCTTCGTGAAGTTGTAAGACTCCACGGTCTACCACACTCGATCATATCAGATCGAGACTCAAAATTCACGTCAAAATTTTGGCACGAACTACACCGAATACTCGGTGTGCAGTTGAAATTCACAACTGCATTCCACCTGCAAGGCGACAGCCAAGCAGAAAGAATGATACAAAAAGTAGTACAAATACTACATGTGATGGTTAGACCAGATCAATGCGACTGGGCAGCGAAACTGTCAATGGCGGAATTCACAATCAATGCAAGCTCAAACACATCGACAGGATTTGCCCCATTCGAATTAATCTACGGCCATATGCCAAAGATGTGCCTAACAGCACCACTCTTGGACTACCTGGGAGTAAACGACTTCGCCCAAAAAGCGAAGGAAAACCTCATGACAGCACACAATGCGATAATACACAATCGCGCTGCTCAAACAATCCAGGTGAATAAGAAAAGATGCCCGGACCCGCCTTTGAGAAAAGGCGAGCTTGCATACTTATCCACGGATAAGCTGAACCTACCCAAAGGAAGGGCAGGAAAACTAAAGCCCTTATACATAGGGCCTTACGAAATTCTGGAAACATTTCCAGAGACGTCAAACTACATCCTCAAGTTGCCACCACAACTTGAACAACGCGGAATCCACCCAAGATTCCACGTATCCCGGCTCATACCTCACGAGCCGAATGACCAAGAGATCTTCCCAAATAGGGAAGTAAACACATTCTATGATTTTGGGGAAGACCCCGATCGCGAAGCAGTAGTTCGCGAAATCTTAAACCATGCGTGGGTTCACAATGAACTCTGGTTTAAGGTCAAATGGGAGCTAGGGGACACCACATGGGAACCCCTAGGAAATTGCAACGACCTCGTCCACCTGGACGAGTACCTCACTTTACAAAATGTAAGGGAACCAGAAAAACTCCCTATCAAAGAAGACAGGGAACTCTCGGCATCACTATGCCCCCAAAAACGGAGATGGAGGAAGTAAAGCTGAGGGACGATGGCCCACAGCCAAGAGCATGGGAAAGTTCTGGGCGAGTAACTCGCCTGGACAGCCACACCATGTACTAGAGATCACATGGGCCAGGCGAGTAACTCGCCTAGACCATGTGAACCACAGGCTCATGTGTAAAAGAACACACAACTGCAGTGAATCCCACACACGCAAGAACGAAAACCCCTCCCACCACCACGAGAAGCATAACGACAAAATGTCGTTCTCTGGGGGAGGCAACCCTCGGTTCGATCCAAACAAGCCACCGGACATCGAAATACGACAACCTGGGGTGCAAGGCTCCCCGGAACAACAACAACACCAGGCGCAGATAAGCGCCATGGACTACACGATGCACGCAGCACAAATGAGTGCCGCAAACCAACAACCATCCACGTTGCTAACAGGCACCACATACCCCCAGCCTCCTCAGAGGGGCTTCCAACCATACATGGTGCAAACTGCACTGATGGCACAACAAGCGCCATTCCAGGGGCAGCATTTGCTGCTGCAGCCCCAGGCATACTCCCCAGGGAACTTCCCTGGCCAGATCAACCCCTGGATTGGCCAATTCAGCCCAGGTCCAACAACACCCCAGCCAAATGCAGGCTGGGAATCAGCCATCGCATCAGCAGTAGCTGCTCAGACAGGTCAGCTCTGCGAGGAGCTGAAAGAGATGAAGTCCCTCGTAGGAGGGAGACGAGGGAGCGACAGCGGCTCCTCGTCCAGACTGTCCAAATGGGCACGGTCTGATAACTCGAGGGTGTCAGAAGACGCCTGCGACCATTGCGCCCACTGGAGGCGCGAATACAACAGAGCATGAAGAGATGCCGAGGGCATCTTCGACTCTCTGAAAGACACAGAGAGAGAGGTCGATCTCCAAAAAAGGGAGATCGAATTACTGAAACGCGAGCTCAGAGAGGCACACGCACTGGCAGACCTCGCTGCGAAACCCATTATGATGGGGGCCTCCCAGGTCAGGGGGAGGGGATATGGTGCCGGGGCACCGACTATCCCGCCACCCCATGGGCAGGCGACCCTGTCCAGGTTGCATAAGGGCCCGCCCTCAGAAGGGCAAACCCATGTCAAGGGGAAGAGGGAGAGCGGTAGGCAACCAACGGCAGACCCTAAAACGGGGACCACTGCCAGAGGCGGTGGGCCGCTGAGTACCTCAGCACCCTATGGGCAAGCTACCCTGCAGGGAAGTGTCCACATGCTATATGAGACCGCCAAACTCAATGAGTTCGGCAAAGTCGAAGCTCCAGTTGACGTAACAATCGACCCCAACTTCCCCATGAGGAGAATAGTGGGGTCAGAAGTGGTGCATGACGCCGCATACACTTGGTGGACAAGCGTGAGTGGGAAAGAATTCGTACATTGGTACGAACAGGCCGAAGCCACCTTCAAAAGCAGCAAGGTACACAGAACCCTTTGCGAAAAAGCGAAGGAAACCAAGAAATACTTCTTGGGACTCCCAAGTATTGCAAGACTTGTGGAGGAGTATAATTCCACGGAGAACAAGGGAAAAATCTCCTGGGAAAGTCTAGGCAAAGCCGCCTATCTAAAGTCCCAGTTCAAACCACTCAGGACTCCTGAGGAATGTGCCGCAAAAACTGCGGAGCGGGAAGCGAAAGCTTCCAAATACCGGGAAAGAGATGCAAGTCTCCGCACTGGACAACCAGCCCAATGACCACCCTTCCCCACGGGAAGAATGGTAGACCTACTGTACTCCACACCTGAGCCAAGTAGCTCAGGAACACAACAACCCACTCCCACCCAGGGAGCGCCTACTTCATCGACCCCACAGCCCAACAATGTAGCCCAGGCTACGTCATCGCATCCGACGCAGCAATCGGATGTCCAGATGAACAACCCAGAGGAAAACCCTCCTCCGGGGCAATGACTCCACCCTTGAGAAAAGGGAAAGTGACATGGTAATACGCCATCGAGGCACCCGTGAAAACACCTTCCCCCAACTTGAGGCCCCACACACAATACTGTATGCGAGGAACTGCAAGTAACAATTGCGGAAATCTCTACTCCATCAAAAGACCCACATCCACCACCGCTCGTGTGTAAACACCACTTACACACGAACCCTCACGGAACAAGTGAGGAACACCAAAAACATACAACCTTTGGGTCGAAATTCATTTCCGACAAACTCCACTACTTTTCTCCCTGCGATACCCATGTATCACTGTTCACTTCAAAGTAACGGCCCACACTCACAAACCCTTTTTCTCTCCTTCACCAACATGTACAAAAATCGCCCACTTTAAAGTGGCGACAACAAAACACTCATTGATAATTTCAAACTCAATGTAAATCAATTATTAAAAACTTTGTTTTCTTCACCATCAACCTTGTATGCGTCGCAAATGCAACACAAGGGGGGAGAATGTCAGGGCAATAGCCCCGAACCTCGAGCCACATGGAATTAGATACATATAGTCACGTGGGTAAGCAGGAACCTCCGGGTAACTGCTTACACACTACCGTAAAATACACACATTTGTATCACTTATGGCTCTGTGTGCTGAGCTACCCCAGAGACCTCACACCACTGTAGTAAAAGGCAGCAATTAGGGAGAGAAATATTAAGTAAATATTTCAACAGGAGAGCTGGTTAACATTCCAGATTTCAAAGTGTAAACACAAAACAGTTATTTTGCTACTGTTAAAACAAGCAATAAAATAAGACAAAAATAAAACAAACTCAAGGGACACTTCAGACACAATCTAAACCCATTAACTGAGTAGAATCTTTGAAACTTCACCAAGTAGAAGATTTAATTCAAGTTAAAATCCAAATTAAACAACCCTACACAGAATTACACCCAGACAAATTGCGAAATTACAATAGAGGAACAACTCCACAGGGCTTAGTTTATCTGTAAGTCAATTCTCAGAAACTTTTAGACTAACCCATAAAATAGAATTAGCCAAAACACTCAGATTGGTACTATAATTACAAAAAATATTACTAGTACACTTCCCCATCCTAACTAAAGAACCAGGGAACAGCTTGGTGGTGGTCTCGTTTGAACCTCCCAACTGACCTTCCTTCGTTCTCTCCTTCAGCATGTTGGAGGAACAACCTTGAACCCTGTATTTACATCTATTTTGCATAATCTTTCCAAATTTAGAGTCTACCATAATCTCATCCAACCACCCTCAATCTGGTTCTCTCCACATGCCCTGCCGAATCTTCTGCAGATTGAGAATTTTTGCTTTCACCCCATTTGGAGGTCCAGATCTTGATTGTCCCATCAGTCCCTCCACTGGCAATCATCAATTGTTTTTCATTGGCTTTGTTCCAGGCCAGAGTAAGGGTGTCTGTCTCTCCTTGTCTGGAAAGCTGTAGGGAATGGAGCAACACTGCTGTCTGGCAATCCCAGAAGTGAGCGGTTCCGTCTAATGGAATGATGAAAGAATGGATCTTGGACTTTATTGGAGGACACCAACCCTTATCCAATGACACTACAACCATATCCATGGTGCCTTGATGAGGGAATTGTCCCAGGAAAGTTTGTTGATAGAGGGTAGTAGTGGATAGAGGGTGATAAGAATTCAGACGTTTCATCTGTGGTCGAATGCCCTCCTTCGAAATTTTGTAGAGCTGGGGGGGTGTCTAGCCTCAGAAATGGGATATTCAAATCATATTAGCAAACAAGGGATCTAGCTTCTGCTAATCTTACCCTGTCACTGAAACTAACCAGTGCAAATGACCTGCTTAATTCGATATGCTGAGCCTCACGAAGCATCGGAATTTTTCTGGGGAAGGTTCAATTGACAGTGTAATATCCTAAGACCAGGCAGGCACCTTTCAATGACTCCCAATTGCAAGTTATAGACTGAAATGCAAATGAGATTCCATCAGATTACATAGATCTGGGAGTGGCATGAGGAGATAACCCACCAAGGATACATTTCTCTAAATGTTCAATATTTGACAGAGTCTGTCTCTCAGGTAATTCGCTTCGAGTTGCCACGGCCAATAACCTTTTTTTACAACTCAGCCAGCATAGCAACCCACAATTGCCTGATCTATCTCACACCTTTCCTCATCTTGAGCAACAGCGACATCACGAAGGGCCCACGGAGGCGGAAGAGGGACCCATCTGTCTTCTAAGCTATCAATTGGCTGGCACAACCCTCAGTGAAAATTTGAGTGCAATGTCGTGAAACTCTACCGCAATAGTGAATTCCCTCCCTCTGTTCATGATGACCTTGGGAGAACTTGGCATCCAAGACCCTCGCCATATCATGCCCTCGGGAAACTCGCGGAAGATCCGTAGCTGTTTGGTCTGCTTTGAGAGTATATCATCATAGTTTGCCATGGTGAGACAATTCCATACCTCCAACACCCATATTGAAATCTTGAGTTCGGAGCACAGAAGGAGATACTGTCCATCAGGAGACCATGATAGTTCTGGGAATCGTCCAGCATTGATGCATTCTGCATGAACAGTGAATGGTGTACCAAGCTTCCAAATCATACAAGTGGATCGGAAACTTGTTGCAACTGATGATAATACAAGGTAAAGAATGCAGAGATGAGTGAGAGTCTAACCTACGGTATCCTCCATCTGGACTGAATTGCATGCTTGAGATAGAGAAGTGAGTCGGGATAGATTCTGTGTTTTGGAGGGATTTGATGGTATGCTCAATGGTACTGAGGCTCAGCAATTTGGATTCCGTGGGCTCCTGCTCGATATCAGAGTTGGGAAATGTTTCCAGTGGAGGGCTCTGTAAAGCGGGTTGGGGAAATGGTCTGTTCAACCCCAAGGCATTGACCCCAGCTACTGAGCTGTTCAAGTGCTCCTGTCTCGTCTCAGGGATCTGGGTAGTTTCAGTGTGCATTGAAAGGCCTAAAGATTTGGAGTGTGGTCAGGCAACTATGTACTGCAGCTAGGCCATGACTCATACCTAGTTCCATGCGATCGTCAGGCTCATTGTCCCCACTTGAGAGCAGGAGATGACCTATGGGTGCAACCACAAGATTACACAATGCCAATGCATATTTATTGACAAGTTCATTGAGCCACTAAAAACATCACCCATGAAGAGCAAAGTCAGAATTCAGGTATACAGCATGCCAACCTTATCCCCTTCAAATTTTTGGTGAGTGTAGTGCTCTCCGACAAACCAAAGGCCAATGGTTAGGAGAGCGAAGGACGAGATTGAGGTGCAAGTAGTGATTATTATGGGTACTAGAGGAGATTTACTGAAGTTTTCGAATGCAAAACACACGAGTCCTGCCGAGAAGGCGATAACAGAAGCCACCAGAAAACTAAGAGGGGTGTGCGATATCCAGATAGAGACCCACCAGGGCAAATGTTCAGGTGGTGAGCGGTAGGGAGCATAGCTGAAAAATAAAATACTTAGGAAGGACTGAACTAACACTCCCAATCAGAGACCTCACTGCCAATGGTAAGCAAGTTGACTGTTCATCGCACTGGCAAGGGAGAAAACCAGAGAAATTATCCATAATAGATTGATGGCTTTCTGAGTTCGTGTATTAAAACTTTGACTAAACACAAATTTGACAAAATAATCAGCTGTGTAATGGAACAGACTTACTAGCTAAATTGAATGGTTGTTGCAGTGACGCCTGAGAACAGGACAGCAACAGTCGAAAGATTCTGTAGCGACTTGGTCATCCGGTCTTGGGAGGATTCAATTGCTGGTATACCTACTCATCCCTGCTCAGTGTGGCTGTGGATTCACCATCCTAGGATATGCCCTCACCAATCGCAGTAAAGTTCAGGATAGCTTGCGATACTATCTCCAGGTGCTCCCTTATCTTTACCGAGACATCGTTGACATACAACCTGACATCTTCGTCATCGTATCGAGCTTAAGCAAGTTGAAAGGAGTGAGGAAATGGTTCAAATAGCTTTTTTTGTTCCTCGCTCACATTTGTAATCTCCGAGACAAGGCCCCCAGTATTTCAAGTCTACCAGGAATAGTTCGGCGGATGTGATGACATTTTGATCTGCGAATTCAGGAAACTCGTTGAGGCATGCAACAAATTCGCCCAGGTTGCCCCGCAAAGAAGATAATAGATCATGAACCTTCTCTTCAGCGTTTGCCACATGGAAGGTAAAGCGCTTATACTCGACATTGGAACGGTCTTGGTCAAGATCGGCATACAATCCGGAGACGTTTTTCCGAAAACAAACTAGACAACGTTTTAGTCGATCGCGAAGACTGCCCACAGTCCGGACAAGTTTGGCAGAGCCACCAAACTGGTTAACGCAAATAGCGAACTTTTGAAGGTTCATATCAAGCTCAACGACGTTTCTGCGAATTATTAGGAGTGTCAGTAGTTTCTGACATCATTTAGATGATCCAGCGTACGGACGCTTGCAAAGCTCTAAACCCTTTCAGTACATCTTCCTTCGACCCGGCGTTCATGTCTGAAAGCGAGGAAATTAGCGAAAACAATAGCACCAGAGTGCGACCCATATGATGCGTACGTGGTGTATCGTGTTCGGTCAGGGAAGCAGGTAAACAGGGACTGGTAGACATCTCGACAGCTGGCGGCGCGTTGATGGGGCTGGGGTTGAGGTCCACATTTGTCAAACTCATCTGCTCCTGATGACTCCCACTTACCACTCACGCTTGAGTCAGGGGATTCCGGGGCAATTGAGGCAGTGCTAAGGTTGCAGCGAAAACAAAGGACTCTCAATATTGCCAGATCGACGCACAAAGGCGGAACTGGTGCTTTGCGATAAGGGAATATCAGCCCGGGCCGTTCAAAACTGATGTTAATGCTCGTTGAGTACACATGTCCACTCGCTACCCATGCCCCATGCCACGATCAGTTCCGGCTCTTATAGCTTCATACGGTATCACATCATACATATATTTTGTCTGACTAACCGCCGCATCCTCGACTCTCACCTTGCGCAAGGCCTTGCATTCATATCCCGCAGATGTCATTTTCACTTCCCCTGGAGGTAATTCTGGGAGGAAAATCCGTTAAACAAATGACTACACATTTGCACAGGATGGAGCTGTCAGCAACTTACGAAGACGTCGGAAAGACTTGATTGCTCCTCTAGGAGAGGGCGCAAACAATTTCGGATGGGGGCATCGATGCGATCAAGAGTATTTTGACCGTAGGGCATTTTATTATCGAGGATTTGTTCTTCCTTTAATTTGCAGTATGGCAGCTCGCCCGTGAGGATCTCACGAAGCAGAAACCTCAGATATGATGCTGATCATGCAGGAAACCAACAGTGCTCACTTCTATCGAAACGCAGCCAAATGCCCAAATGTCACCCTCCTTACTACCTTGGAATACGCCATTGCAACTCCTACGATGTTCGGGTGCGGTGTATCGCACACTTTGGAAATGGATGGTGATCGGAAAATCGCACAGGAGAGTTTGGAGCCCATAGTCGCAGAGCACGGCTTTACCGTCAGAATCAACCAAGATATTCGCCTGATCGTATTGCGAGAAATTGATAAGGCCAAGCTCATGGGGATACCTGATGTACTTACTGGTTTGATATTTCCGTGCACAATTTTGTTATCGTGTAAGTTTATTAAGCCATTGCATACACCCCTAATCTAGGAACCGTAAAAGAGGACGTCTCCGGGCAGGTTAATCCTCAGAACGCACCAACTTGTAGTGATCCGCCTTGGGATTCTTCTCCAGATAGTTGTTGATGTCCCCGTGGGGATACCAGGGAGAAACCAGACTGATGTCAAAACCCAAATGAGGAATTTCATTAATCGTCCACCCTTTCATTTGTGCGACGAGTTGCAGTTCGCGCCATGCCCCCACCTGAGCGAAGAAGTTCTGGGGGAGCGTTAGTCATGCATCACAGGCGGGAATTATGCAGATTAACATACACGGAGAAAATCTCTACACCTCCAACTGTCTGATATGCGGATCCCTCTTAAGGTCTTGATTCGCATTTTCCCTTGACCCTGACGAACCCTCAGTTCACCAGATACGCGTCGCGAGGAGCACAGAAAGTGGGATGTACCTTCCTGAGCATCTCATAGCATAACACCCAACGAGGACTCCCTGGTGCTCTTTCAAACTGGGCGTTACTTGTGTATTGACATGTACTTGCCCAACGTCCAGTGGGTTGCTCTAATTCTTGATTCAACAGCTCCAAGAAAGGCGGTATTTCTTCGGAAGGATTTCTGATCAACATCGTTAAGTATACGCAAAGGATAGCATACAGATGCACTTACTGAAGGTCATCGAGGAGAGTCCTTATATCAGGACGAAAACTGGGATCGTAATTCAGGCACCTACTAAGGTGCCCTAGGACGGCAGATGGAGAGTTGGATTCGAAGGGTGGTCGTTTCGCCTTGATGGCGGGGACTGGAGAGCGTTTAGCATAGTGGAATGGACGCTTGCCACAGAAGATCTCGGCGAGGGTCAGTTCGTTTGAACTACAGACAATTGGTGAGATCTGGATTACCTGCGTAGCTACGCACCCAAAGGCCCAAACGTCTCCCTTTCTATTGCGGGAGGATTCGCCATTCAACACTTCTGGAGCTGTGTACCGCATGGCCTCCACGGGTGTCTGCGTCTGGCATTTAGATGGAATACAGGATCTTCCAACTTCACGTAGTTGTGGGTGTCCTTGTTGGTGGACTACAATGTTGTCCTGGATATAGATTAAAAAATAAGTGGGCTAGATCTGGGCGCGCAAGCCACACAACTTGCTGGTTTTACGCCACCATGCACTATAGCCTGTGCATGCAGGAAATCAAGGCCACTTCCAATGTCTAGAAGCTGTATCCCACCCCTATGAGAATTACTCGGACTACAGGCCAGTAGTTACGCTCACCATGGTCAAACGCTGCTCATCAGTCATGGCTTGTTTTGGCTTAAGATAATCAGATAACACCTTTCCACCTTCACGCCAGTATGACACCAGGCCTGGAGTCGGTTTCATATTCCCTGAACCACTGTTAAGGATCCACCCGTAAAATTGAACAACATGTTTGTTCGTTAACGGGCTCCAAATCTTGATCTCATGAATGAATCGCTTTGCTTGTATTAGATTAACGGTCGGCGGCCTATGGTCTTCCACGTACCAGGATGAAGTCGCTGTAGGTATGCGAGAAATCCACTTGGTCTTCTTTGAAGACCTCTACACAAACTGGCGTCTAGAGGATATGTAACAGCAGTCTCATGAGTGACATTTGCAGTATTGAGATCGGAAAAAACGAACATTGTTGTAAGTCAGTATATAAACACTTTCGTGGCTTCTAGATAGTTGTATAGGCCGGTGTGGTCGTACTTGTACATCGTGGAGTTCCTTATAATCCCGCAGCTTTTGCCTGAGATGGTCGAGCACGACCTTTTGATCACGAGTAGCTTCAGTCGTCATATCAACTAGGAATCGTTCACTGGAACTGGTGGAGGAGCGAGGATGTGGACAGATGAAAAGCGCTCATGGGTGTGAAAGGTTCAAAGCTGTTTGTTACCAATGCAACTTCCAAACTCGTTCTCCACAGCCATTCTGCTCGGGCCAGAAACCAATTGAACAAGTCCCAGTAAGTCCAGTTCTTCCATAGCACGTAATCAACTCTTCATCAGTGTCCACTCAGGCCGCCCTACTATACCAATTCTGGCTCATGGGGTCTAACTAACTCGAACGTGAAAACTGGGTATTCTCGGGGATCTATCACCGAAACAGACTGTTATAACCAGACGTGAATCCTCTGTTAATTGGCGCTTCGACTGGACTGGACCCATACTAACAGCGAGCATGTCTCAACACGACACACCTTGGCATTCAGATCTCACACAACGCTTAGCGTCAGAGGCTGACCTCCAACTTGACTCCAGCCAGTGGGCAGCTCATGTTGCCGTGAGTCCTCGTGGTGTCTTGTTTAACCCTTACCGAGAAATCCTGCCCAGAGTGAAGGAATTATCGAGGTTTTATATGATGTTTCGGAACTGGCTGAGGCGGACCACTTTATTGAGGTTTGTTAAAATCGCCAACGCAGCACCAGCATCTTGCCTAATCGCACTATCAGCGGGTCAAGCAACAGTTGCACATTTTACGCGATTTGCGACACGAAAACATTGTAGAGTTTCAGGGATGGATGGCACAGAAAGATGGTAATTTGTTCAGTGTAGTCGCGATCTCAAGGAAATGCGAGGGTGGTGAGGTGATAGGCTTTCTTCATTCACACAAGGGCGCAGATCACCAGCAATTGGTACGTTATATATTGAAAATACCAAGAGACGGTCTAGTTTACATCGAGTACAGGTTTTGGGGGTCACTGTCGGCCTGAATTTTTTACACTCCAAGAAAATCGTTCATGGTAGTCTTAGCCCTGTTCGTTCGATGCTCTCTTCGACCCTGTCAGGTACTTCTCTAACTTGCTTGGTTCTCTAGAGGAAAATTTTCATCGATTGTACTTCCGAGCGCCCTATCGCTAAGATTGGAGGTTTTGATCTGTGCCACTTGAGCGAAACGCCTGTATATCCTAACGAAGAATACTGGTCATCCTTGCTTATACGTTATACCGCACCTGAAGTGTTAACAGGAGACGACGTTGAGTGCGATATGCGTAGCGATGTTTGGTCCTACGCATGCACATCCCTGGAGGTGCTCCGATTTATTCTTACCATGCAACTCGGTATCTAACTCTTCCCAGATACTTTTGGGAAATCCTCCATACACCTCTAAGAATATTTGGGATGATCTTCTCATACCTCAGGCGGCTATGGATGGCATCCCCCCATACGAACGGAGAAGCTTGGATGGTTTCGATGGTGTTCTGATGAGCTGTCTGGAGCATGAGCCCAGCAGACGGCCCCCCATTGACCAGGTCAATACGCAGCTAGAGTATGTTGATTGCTCAGCTTTTTTGAGGGAAAACTCACATCCAGTCCAGGGGACTTTTTCTCCGCATCCGCATAGAACGCGAATTAATGCAAGAAGATGAGCGGAACCTCGCGAAAGCGGTACAGCTTGACCAACTGCCTGTACCTGAAGGCTATTCTGCATCTCCGTACCCGGGGACTTACAATGGTGTTCGTGCACGCATAATGTGGCTACTTGTAGCTCTGCTGACGGGTCACTATCATCCCACCAGGGGCCAGTATGTATCCAACAGATCAATATTCCGATTCCGCCCCTCGATGATCTCATGCGCGTATGTTCTGTTCTTCGGAGTCAGTCATCCCGAATCTGACGGAAATGATCTTCAAAGGCTTTGAAGAGGCAAATACGTATACAGCGTCGGTTGATACATCCCAACATAGAGCAGCTCTACGGATGGGTTTTGTCCCCGGAAACTGAATCATCGATCAGTCTTAGTTTGGTTACCACTTGGTATCCTCACCGTGATCTCATGGGTTATTTACGCCAACACCCGGCTACAAATCGCCGCAAGATGGTGAAATGTCTATAGATTTGTGAGAAATAGGGCAATAAGCCACTGACTTTGTCGCAAAGGTGTACCATATAGCGCTGGGTCTCTGCTATCTCCATTCGGAAGGAGTGGTTCATGCGGACATCAAACCGGTACGCCAGCTACTTTAGATCTTGGCGAGCCCTTTAGATATTTAACGTTGTCATTCTACTGTTTAGGAAAACGTCGTGATAGGGGATGAAGGCAATCCCTGTTTACGTGGCTTCCAGTTCACGTATGATCGTCTGGACGAATTACGCCCCTCCGACATTCCTCAGGATCTCAGTGCTCGTTTTCGACCGCCAGAGTTACTTCAGGAGTCCAGAAAGATCCCGGATCAGTGGAGTGATGTTTGGGCCTTCGGTTGCGTCGGTGTCGAAGTAATTTCGTCCTGTTCTTATCAACAAGTAAACGTGTTTATCCCGTCCACAGATACTCATCGGCGAATCGCCCTATTCATACCTTCCTGATAATCAGGTCCCCATCGTTGCTGCAAATTCCGGAAGACCCTATGAATGGGGAGATCTCGATGGGTTCGAAAGCACTATCGCTGAATGCCTCTCGCATCCTCCGGAAAATCGAATAAGCATGAAGGACGTCCGTGACACTTTGGAGTGAGTCATTACCAAGCCATCAGATTATTCTCTATTTACTCCCTCAGTTCATGGTTAGCGGCGGAAGCCACCTCTGATATCTACAACACTGGTATGGTATTAACCTGCGGATTCTCTGTCTTAGCTCAAGTCGGGGATGTACAGGTCGCCAACGCAACCCCATTCACCGGAGCGGGTTTTCCGCGCTACGGGAAGAGACTGACCCGATCCTGGTGGTGCCCCGACCATCTACGGCTGGGCTGCTCTGGAAACGCTCACATTCTGGTATCAATCAGCCAAGCGCACTTCGCCTTAGGGGGCCCTTGCCATTGGTCCCTCTTTATCCTTCGGTACTTCCACCATCTCCCTCCATCTCGCTGCTATCGGCCGTGCCTGTGCAGAAAAAGGCTGGGGCTCTCAGGCAAAAGATCGATGATCTCCTCCTCATGGGGGGGGTTGACATTGCGCCCCCTCTAAAGATGGCGACTAGCGGTGCACTCTCCATCCTCGACGAGGCTAAGGTTGGTAATAATTTTTGCCTGGCCATGAATGACAGCTCACTCTAGTTTACGCCATGTAGAAGTTAAAGGACGACAAGAAGGAATGGACTGATTTTGGGGAATATGTGGTCGACACCGTGGCCGAGGTGGTTTCAGCCATAAAATCCTATGATGCGTCGGCGGAAGAGGCAAAGCCGTGGGTGGAGAGTATCACAAAGCTCAATAGGTAAGTTGTATTTATTTTTGGTGGTCTCTGATATCGTTACCGTTACTTACATGAAGTCTCAGGGTGCTACAGACGATAAGATCCGAAATCGAACGAAGACAGAAAATAGCAGAGAAACGACCGGCTGTCCTAAATGTAGTGTCTTACTTGAGAGACACTGGGAGAATTGATGGCCTTAAGAAAGACTTTGACAAAACATTGGCGTCGTTTCAGGTAGCTTTCCTTGCAGCATACGTTCCATAACCATACTGATTTCCGGCCGATGCAGCTTAGGACGAATCTAATGGGTGGTGCCAAATTAGCGGCCATAGAACGTCATCTACAGGACGACAAAATCCTCGATAGTCTCCGATATCCTCATATCAACCACGATGATTTCACTCAGGCGTGCCTAGAAGGGACTAGGATTGATCTCACGGAGCGTATCATGACATGGTGTCGCAACACTGAGGAGAGTGAGAACCGGCTACTCCTACTGACAGCTGTGGCTGGTGCCGGCAAGACTTCAATTGCGCTCACGATCGCAGAACGATGTGCTAGTGAAGGGGACGTTACGTTGTTATTGCACTTCTTCTTCAAAGCGGGAGAACGGTCGCGGCCCGATTTTCTGTTCAGCGGCATAGCCCGAACTCTAGCAGACCATGACCCGTTTTACCGCACTTTCATCATCTCTACTCTTCAAAAGGACCCTTCCCTCTCAACGGCCGTACTCGCAAAGCAATTTGAGAATTTGGTGGCTTTGCCTCTCCTCCATAAACCTCCCGACCGTCCCATGGTGGTTATCATCGATGCTTTAGATGAATGTGACAAAGAAGTGTTCGAGTCCTTCGCTGATATTCTTCGGCAGGAAGTGCCTAAGCTACCATCTTCCATAAAATTCTTCATCACATCGAGACACACTGATCTTGTTATACGCACTCTCTCACCCCTATTCCCTATCAGTCGACTTGCTATTGACCTTTCGGATGACGCAAATGCGCAGGACTGTGCTACATATATACGTTTTGAGCTGCAAAAGCTGAAGGATTGGCATCCCGATTTACGGCGTAATCTTCAGGACGAGGATAAAATAGTTCAGGAGATCTGGGAACGTGCAAGTGGCTTGTTTGTTTGGATCAGCACCATTTTTCGCTACATGAAGACAGCCAACAACGATCCCATGAGGGCGTTAGAGGGTTTGCTTGACACTGGTGCCAAACGAGCTGAGGGAATGATGGACCACCTCTATACAAACATCCTGAAGAAGTGCAATTGGGAAGATGAAGATTTTTCCCATGACTACCCAATCGTGATGGGAGCAATCTTTGTCGCACAGCAGCCTCTGTCCGTCACAGCCTGGAATGCAATTTTGTCACCTTTCCTCAAGTCTCCCGTTCAATATTCGTTGGCTGAACTTGCACCTCTGGTCTCAGGAGCTGACGATTCCCACTTTCCGATTCGCATCTTACACCAATCTTTCCGCGGCTTCTTTGTCGACCGGATTGATCCCCCATCGATCAGCCCTCGTTGTATCCCAGTAGATGTAGTGACAGCGAATGCCAGAGTTGCCTTGCGATGTGCCGAGATTCTGAACCAGGATCTTTGCTCTGTACAGGGCTTAGGACTGATTGAAACCTTGTCCGAACAAGATGAGCTGCCGCTTATTCCCTCGGAGGAGTTACCCGAGCATTCTCATTATGCATGTCGCCATATTGTCCATCACCTCAGTGGAGTCCAGGAACCATCAGAAGAGCTTGATGGGTCAGTTGATGTGTTTCTCAATCATCAAGCCACTCGCTGGGTGGAAGTCTGTGTGAGAATGGAGGGCTACATTGGTATCTCATTACTCCCTGAGTGGGCCAAGGTGTGGTTTATCAATTGTGTTAATGATACTACCTAACTGCCTCATGACCTTTCAGTTGGCTGTTAGCCTCAAGTCAAGAAGTGCTGTCTGCACACTGGCCAGTATGCTTGTCCGGCTTGCACGGAATTTGTATTTTTTTGCAAGATTCCAGGGGGCATATGAGGCAGCAAACGATTCCGTTGTACTCTGCCGTTACCTTCTTTCGGTGGACCCGGGGTCCTACTCCCCAGATTTGGCCGAGTCACTTGGGGCTCTTTATTTGGCCCTTTCCAAACTTGGACGGCACTCGGAGGCGCTCCCATTCATTGAAGAAAGCATCAACCTCTACCGCCAGCTGGTTGCTGTTTACCCGGGGTCATACACCGCAGATTTGGCCGTGTCACTCAACAATCTGCCTGGCGCTCTTTCCAAACTCGGACGGCACTCAGAGGCGCTCCCATTCATCGAAGAAAGCGTCAACCTGCACCGCCAGCTGGTCGCTGTTCACCCAGGGTTGTACACCGCAGATTTGGCCGTGTCACTCAACAATCTATACCTTGCTCTTTCCAATCTCGGACGGCACTCGGAGGCACTCTCATTCATCGAAGAAAGTGTCAAACTCCGGCGCCAGCTAGTCGCGGTTCATCCAGGGTTATACACCCCGGATTTGGCTATGTCACTCAACAATTTATATGACGCTCTTTCCAATCTTGAACGGCACTCAGAGTCGCTCTCATTCATCGAAGAAAGCGTCAAACTCCGGCGCCAGCTGGTTGCTGTTCACCCGGGATCATACACCCCGGATTTGTCCATGTCACTCAACAATCTATATTGCGCTCTTTCCAATCTCGGACGGCACTCGGAGGCGCTCCAATTCATCGTAGAAAGCGTCAAACTCCGGCGCCAGCTAGTCGCGGCTCATCCAGGATCATACACCCCGAATTTGGCCACATCACTCAGCAATCTATATTCTGCTCTTTCCAATCTCGGACGGCACTCGGAGGCGCTCCCATTCATCGAAGAAGGCGTCAAGATCTGGCGCCAGCTGGTTGAAAGCAACCCAGGAGCATACACCCCACAATTGGCCAATTCACTCAGGAATCTTCGCAACGCTCTTTCCAATCTCGGACGCCATTCCGAGGCACAAATGGTCCATAGTTGAGCCACCCAAGTCCCGTAGCTCCTCTTGTCATTGTGTTTCTTTGCTATCTGCTCATGGGGAACACAAACAAATCCAACCCCAAATTTTTATTGGACGCTATGGATAAGGTAGTTACAGCTGCCTACACCCACAACAGATCACAGTCGCGACCTATAATCTTAATATGAAGGATACTCATTTCTTTATATGACACATTTTCCTTCCCATTGCTCATCACTGAGAGTTTCTGCACACCATCGTAAGCGGCGACGTTGAGGTTTGATCGGTGATGGATGTTGATGTGGCGAAAAGATCCAATCGATAGGTCCACATTGTCCGATGGGGGTGTGGAAGTTGAGAACTAGCAAAGCTAGCTCAACTTATGGGGGTGATTTGAGCTTCAATATGTAAGGGACACGACAAGCTTCGATTCGAGACAATTATCTCTATAAAAAATATTAAGACACACTCTTGTCAAATAATGCAAAAGAGAACAAAAATTATATTACCTAGCAAAGCGTGGCAACTAAGGGTAATACTGTACTCACAAGACCAAGAGCCACAAGGGGTTTGAGCGTGACACGGGAGAGCCGGCTGCAGGCTGCTGATGATGCGTGACAGCCAGCCGCGGGAGAACCGGCTGGCACTTGCCTATACCATAATGGGGAGCCAAATTCCTGCTACTCCATAGCGGGTCCTACATTTTTTTCTCCCAAACTCAACTGTCCTATGCATAGGGTCCTGTATGACCCCCAAAGCATCAGCAAACCCCCAAAGTTGATAAAAGTGATAGGAAGCACTTTAATCACTTCTTGTCAGGGTTCAGCACCCTGCCTTAGGGTGCCCCGGACTCCCCACCTACTTTACCCCCTTTTTATTCTTTGACTGTTGCCTTGTTGTTGCCTTTGTGTGTTGTGTACACGCGCGCGCACGGGATAGCGTGGGAACTTTCTGAGCGAGCAGCTCGCCCAGAATGTTCCCACGGGTCACAGCCACAGTTCTGGGCGAGCAACTCGCCCAGAACGTTCCCACGCTTACTGGGCACTGCCACCTGGATGTTCCCTCCGGGTCACACTACACAACTCTAGGAGCTGTATAGTTGTGGGCATGTGACCCATCCCTTTATATAGCAACCATGCGGGGAGATGAGACCTTTACCCTTCTTCTCATCTCATACCCCGCATAGGCAAGTGTATATATTATCTTTCCTTTTACTATACATCTCATACCCCACATAGTGTGAGGACAGGTTAGATGGGGGATGAGGTCAGGGAGCCTCCGAGTCCGAGGCCGGGCCCTGACACTTCTATTTGTCATACCAATGTAATCTATGCATCGATTGAGACTCAAGCAGCTCAATCACAACAATCTCAATGTACAATTACGTACTTTCCTTCCCACACATGATATGTGAAACCATGGCTTCAACTAGGTTAGGAAATACGCCTATTTGCATCCGATCAACTTCACAGGTTGGCTCCGAATGAATAGCTTTGTGGACTTAACATTTTTTTCACTCGGTGACGGTGATGTGGCTCTTATGCATCACTTCTAGTTTTCCAGGTAGGTCCCTTATATTTCTTTCATAGTACATATTTTCCAAGTTACTCATAGCACTCTATGCATAATTACAGGTTGTACGAGCTGCTCAGCCATGTCTGGTGAGTGCTACCCATTAGTACATGTTCACACACTAATCCCTCATCACCTAAGGGACCTGATAACTCGCAGAATCACCCATCCCACAACTCCTGAATCCAACCATTCCCCAAGCCCCCCATGTCTGACACACACCTGGAATCCTTCAATGAACTGGGGCCTTGCCCCTTCAACTTTGTTGAAATTGACTTGATATGGCCTCTTGTAATCAGGGGGCCTTGTAGAATGATATCACGATAAAAATGATTCCTATCATTTCTATCAACTTCAGTGGTTTGCTGATGAACCCAGGGTCCATTCTCTGCCCCATACAGTTAGTTCTATTCCACTCACTGCATGGCTCCAGTGTAAATTACGTGGTCCTGAAATCAGAGTATGTGGTGTGTTTAGAGTGAATCTCGGGCTTTGTCTCAGCCAATAGCAATGTTGAGAGTGAACGTGCATGCGAGGTAAGAGTAGTGGGATCTGCCGCTTCAGGTGGTGTTCCCCAGTTATCAAAATGGGTAGGTGTGACTATGTGATGATTCTATTCAATCTGTCAGAGACCAGACTTGAGACGAAAGAATGTCTCCGTAACGGAGGGCTTCGGCCTCAGCGACTTCTGCCAGGAGCGCTGTGCCTAGTGACACGTCCGTGCCCTAACTTACTGACTGGCAATTAGAACCTAGGGGGGGAACTCTAGTTGATTTTTCTACTGGGGCGTAACCTATGTACAAGTGGGATATATATATGGTTACAGCGGAGACGGTTCCGCGATTGGCGGAGCCGAACAGAGCGGAGCTAACGGGGTTTAACCATTAGCCGACTGAATATTACCGACGAGTCGGTTCACGGGGTTAGCGGAAAGGCAGGCGATAACCCAGAAACGGAAAGGAGGGATAAGCCCGAAGGTGGTCTCTGCAGGGCAGGCGAGTGTATTGCTCAGCGGAGGCGGGGGTGCACTAGCGGACGTTGGAGCTGTCCGGAAGTCTTCGGGGCTCCGTACTTAGGGAGGCGTAGGTAATAAATTGGAATGGGGGGTGGTGACCATCGAGGGGTACCGAGAGGATTGCGGAATAATGGGGGCTCCGAGGTTAGTGAGGGAGGAGCGGAGTTGGAACGGAGGAATCGGAGGGACCGGAAGTCGATGGCCGGGGATGGATATGACACAATCAGTCACTGTGTTAAATTGTAAATGTAAAAATTGATTCCCCCCCCCCTTTCAAATTCCATGAAGTGTCAAATGGACAGCTTTGCTCTTTCCCAAAGACGTGTCAGACACATGCATGATCTGGAGGAGCAGATGGTGATTTTCTGTTTTGATTATATAATGTGATTTCCATTTTTAGACAGGTAATTGAAATTATTGCCTGCTCACCTTCAACTGTGTGACAAGGGCACCTCTGGCCTCAAAGCCTGCATGATGCATGACAAAACCATGTTTTGGACCGGGCCACAAGGCCTGCAGGATGTGTGACAGGTTCTTGGTCTTGTGAGTACAGTATACAGAACATAAGCATAAGTTTAGAATGATATGAAGGATTGGTGTTACTGACCTCAGTCTCAAGCAAATAATGTGAAAGTGTCAGGGTTCAGCACCCTGCCCTAGGGTGCCCCGGACTTCCCAACCACTCCCTTCCTTCCATTCCTTCATTGTTGCCTTGTTGTTGCCTTTGTGTTGTGTATGTTGAAATATCTTGTTTCTTGGCTTGTTGTATGCTGTGGACTACTCAACTATGTCCCATGGACTATAGATCTTGTGCACGGGCATTTCCATGGAGGATTGCTGTGAGGTCTCTGGGGTAGCTCAGCACACAGAGCCATAAGTGATACAAATGTGTGTATTTTACGGTAGTGTGTAAGCAGTTACCTAGAGGTTCCTGCTTACCCACGTGACTATATGTATCTAATTCCATGTGGCTCGAGGTTCGGGGCTATTGCCCTGACATTCTCCCCCCTTGTGTTGCATTTGCGACGCATACAAGGTTGATGGTGAAGAAAACAAAGTTTTTAATAATTGATTTACATTGAGTTTGAAATTATCAATGAGTGTTTTGTTGTCGCCACTTTAAAGTGGGCGATTTTTGTACATGTTGGTGAAGGAGAGAAAAAGGGTTTGTGAGTGTGGGCCGTTACTTTGAAGTGAACAGTGATACATGGGTATCGCAGGGAGAAAAGTAGTGGAGTTTGTCGGAAATGAATTTCGACCCAAAGGTTGTATGTTTTTGGTGTTCCTCACTTGTTCCGTGAGGGTTCGTGTGTAAGTGGTGTTTACACACGAGCGGTGGTGGATGTGGGTCTTTTGATGGAGTAGAGATTTCCGCAATTGTTACTTGCAGTTCCTCGCATACAGTATTGTGTGTGGGGCCTCAAGTTGGGGGAAGGTGTTTTCACGGGTGCCTCGATGGCGTATTACCATGTCACTTTCCCTTTTCTCAAGGGTGGAGTCATTGCCCCGGAGGAGGGTTTTCCTCTGGGTTGTTCATCTGGACATCCGATTGCTGCGTCGGATGCGATGACGTAGCCTGGGCTACATTGTTGGGCTGTGGGGTCGATGAAGTAGGCGCTCCCTGGGTGGGAGTGGGTTGTTGTGTTCCTGAGCTACTTGGCTCAGGTGTGGAGTACAGTAGGTCTACCATTCTTCCCGTGGGGAAGGGTGGTCATTGGGCTGGTTGTCCAGTGCGGAGACTTGCATCTCTTTCCCGGTATTTGGAAGCTTTCGCTTCCCGCTCCGCAGTTTTTGCGGCACATTCCTCAGGAGTCCTGAGTGGTTTGAACTGGGACTTTAGATAGGCGGCTTTGCCTAGACTTTCCCAGGAGATTTTTCCCTTGTTCTCCGTGGAATTATACTCCTCCACAAGTCTTGCAATACTTGGGAGTCCCAAGAAGTATTTCTTGGTTTCCTTCGCTTTTTCGCAAAGGGTTCTGTGTACCTTGCTGCTTTTGAAGGTGGCTTCGGCCTGTTCGTACCAATGTACGAATTCTTTCCCACTCACGCTTGTCCACCAAGTGTATGCGGCGTCATGCACCACTTCTGACCCCACTATTCTCCTCATGGGGAAGTTGGGGTCGATTGTTACGTCAACTGGAGCTTCGACTTTGCCGAACTCATTGAGTTTGGCGGTCTCATATAGCATGTGGACACTTCCCTGCAGGGTAGCTTGCCCATAGGGTGCTGAGGTACTCAGCGGCCCACCGCCTCTGGCAGTGGTCCCCGTTTTAGGGTCTGCCGTTGGTTGCCTACCGCTCTCCCTCTTCCCCTTGACATGGGTTTGCCCTTCTGAGGGCGGGCCCTTATGCAACCTGGACAGGGTCGCCTGCCCATGGGGTGGCGGGATAGTCGGTGCCCCGGCACCATATCCCCTCCCCCTGACCTGGGAGGCCCCCATCATAATGGGTTTCGCAGCGAGGTCTGCCAGTGCGTGTGCCTCTCTGAGCTCGCGTTTCAGTAATTCGATCTCCCTTTTTTGGAGATCGACCTCTCTCTCTGTGTCTTTCAGAGAGTCGAAGATGCCCTCGGCATCTCTTCATGCTCTGTTGTATTCGCGCCTCCAGTGGGCGCAATGGTCGCAGGCGTCTTCTGACACCCTCGAGTTATCAGACCGTGCCCATTTGGACAGTCTGGACGAGGAGCCGCTGTCGCTCCCTCGTCTCCCTCCTACGAGGGACTTCATCTCTTTCAGCTCCTCGCAGAGCTGACCTGTCTGAGCAGCTACTGCTGATGCGATGGCTGATTCCCAGCCTGCATTTGGCTGGGGTGTTGTTGGACCTGGGCTGAATTGGCCAATCCAGGGGTTGATCTGGCCAGGGAAGTTCCCTGGGGAGTATGCCTGGGGCTGCAGCAGCAAATGCTGCCCCTGGAATG